GAATGTATGTCTAGAATAATGAACATGAGTTGTGTCAAAACCAAACTAAAAACAATGATAGTAAGCACCGGGGTAATTCACAGTCAATAAATAAAACTCAATAAAAGTCTTTTTTTTCATCAATAAAACGATGTGAAAATTAAGATGACAATCAACTGATTAATGATCAAAACTGACCACAAATAATAACACAAAAATCAATTCATGATGTATCGGAAAGATTGAATCGTCACTATCAGCGCACTGGTGATGATCATCTCGTGTTTAGCGATGAATGTTAAGAGATCATAATAGTGATTACCATAATAATCTTAGCAACAGCAAATAATAATAAGGACAGTAATAATGATGGTAAAAGTTTCGATGCTTGTAACTGACACACTGATCTGAATCTTTGCGACATACCTACGAAACGTGCTCATCAAGAAGCTGGAACTTTGTGAGTGTATTAACACAAAGTGCATGATAATTATAGTCAACAAAGCAATGAGAACAACAACAATAAAAATGATAATAATAAGATATGTGGTGAAGTACAATTGAAAGTTGGATGCAACAATATAAAGTTTTCATAAATACTTTTAACGACGACAATTCAGTCGAAACAAGAAACAATGCAACGAACGAAACCGTTGCGGATCATCTCCAAATGCATATTCCTGCGGTACATCGACCAAATTCTTCGCAAATCTGCTGTTCATTCTATCACCAGCACTAAAACTAATCTGAAAATACATTATTATTGCTATTACAATATTCTTTGTTTATGATATCAAAGTGATCAAAAACAAAAACGAAACACCCAAAATGACCTGTTTGAACAGATCCTCCCGCTCAATCGTTTCAAGTTCCTCTAAATGCGAATGAAAACCATTCACTACAGTCAATTTCACATTCAATAAATGCTCTGAAAATTATTATTAGTATTATTATTACTATTATCACAATCACGCATTCATTGTCACATATACACATCGATATTATCAAAACAGAATAAGAGAAATCAAATTACCAATTAGATATCCCAGAGTAACATCATCCGGCAATTTCAAATGTTCAGCTAGCCTTTCAAACCCACCATTTTTAATATATGGGCCCATTTTAGTGATGAGCGATCTCGATAAACAAAATCCAGCTCCACCGGTTGCAAACCAAAATTTAACCTAAAATTTTTAGATGACTTGTTGATGTCAGCTTATAAAATCATAGTAACAATGTGGTTTTTATGGTCACGGTTGAAATGATCATCATTGTCATGACTTCTATGATCTATGATCTGAAATACCTTATCATGTTTGGAATCAACAGAGATTGGACCAGTTGTGGATGGTTTACCCAAATACCAGTCTTTACTTGGGTTTAACTGCTTCAATAAATGAGATAATTCCATCAAATTAACATAGTTATCATCATCGAAATGACAAGACCATCTGAAAATTGTGTGCAAATGTACAGTGGATCGCAGATAGTTTCTTTAAAAATGCACAACATCAATTACAATTATAAATATAACATCTGCTGACAACACAACGACTGGGCTGAATCATTTGGGCCAATCATAAATCAAATGGAGCAATAAAACTTCTATGAGATTTTTTACGACCAATATTCTAGCAGCAATATCTTAATCATCATTTAACAGCGTTATTGTTTAATATGATCATATCGCTATCATATTTTCAATGCATTTTTTAACGCACAGATTTGGTGCCCACAAATTTGGTGCTACACAAAGTTTGACGAGCAGAATTCGCAAAGAAAAATTATTTCGGCAATGACAATATCACAACCAAACGAAAGGAAAGTGAATAAATCTAACGATAGCATACAACAATCTATATGATTCATTAAAAAGCACCATCGACAATCGCCCCTTCTATTTTTCATGTCGTAGAATACAATGCAGTAAGACTACTTCATATTGTATTGTACTGTATTGGTCTACCAATAAACACCGGCAACAACGTAAAAACCGTTCGTCTAAAAGAACAACACCGAATGACTGCCTCACTATTAGCAAGCCATCAAATCCATCAACAACCGAAGACGACAACGATAAATGTGATCGTTTAACCTCTGCATTCTCCAAGCCTTCGTATTCCATCAAACTTTACTCTGCCATTCTTAATCCCACTTCAGCCATTTTGAACTTTTAACAACTCTCTTTCGACAGCCAATTTATGGCATGCTAATGTTTTGTCGAATACAAGCCTTATCCGAATTCAAATGAAACTCGAACGATTGCCTCGGAAGAGACTAATTTGATGTCGAAGAAGCGTTTGCTCCTACGCTCCTTTGATATCAAATCAATCTCTCTCCTTCTCACCACTTTGCACTTATTTTATCAATTAAATATTTCCTTTGACCAGGACGTAAACCCTATCATCCATCGATAAAAACTATCCAATCCACTCGAGCTACACATCTGGTACCGTCTAATCACACAAAGTCTTTTGAAAATATGTAATATCAGTGCTGCTTCACCAACAACAACGTTCGCATATTATAGGTATGTATGTGTGAACATCCATCCATCACATTATACATTTAAATCGTGGGAAACAAATCAAAATCCAAGCGGGAGGTATCATCGCCTTCCATTACATTTTCATTTGGTATCTCATCAGCAATAACAACAAATTACTCCTTATGTGTTATATACTATCGTTCATACCACTTACTGTTCGAACACAAACAATATTGCTTATATTGTGCGGTGACAACGCTCATTACAATAACAGTAATAATAACAGTAATAGTAATAATAACAGTAATAGTAATAATAACAGTAATAATAATAACAGTAATAATACTAATACTAATAATAATAATAATAATAATAATAATAATAACAATGGTGATTTAAAAAATGCAAAATATATTGAAGAGTAGCTTACTTTGCGTTTTTCTCATGAAATAATTGTAACTCGAAGTTCATTTTGCAGCAAAGACCTTCCCTGGAACGAAGTGATTAATTCAGTCACTAAATAACCAAACTTAAGCAATGTACACACCTTGTATGTTGCTGATCACATTCATTCGCGACTATCACATGATTTCTGGTCGATTTATTGAATGTCTCATCTTCGGAATCTGTCACAAAATATATCTGAAACAATAACAATTGCAATAACAATTAATAGTGACAAAAACAATAATAAATAATAACATTATGGGGTGCAAGTTGAAACCATGTTTCAGTGATATCTTTGGCTCGATTTTCGTGATATCTGCGGGTGGTTCGAACCGCAATGATTATCTCGTTTAAATCTGCCAAAAAGAACTTCGACGAAATTCGATCATGATCCTGTAAAGCACTTATTCAATGTAATCGGCGATGAAAAATTTTCACCTCAAGATTATTGATTAGCCCAGATTTTTGGGCTCAAGCTTCAATTCAATTTCTGGTTCACGCTTAGGCTCAAACTGATGGATTTTGAAGCATACAGCTAATAAACTCAACTTCAGTTTACATTCTGGTTCATTCGATTAAAAAACGCACAAGCAAGAGATATTCATATAGAGTATTGCGTCAAATGAAAGGATATGACGCATGATCCGTACGATCTCTTTTATTCCATACCAATCTTGTATATTGAAAAATGAATGAATATGAATAGAATTATTCATAAATTTGAATTAATTACGTAAAATAGGCTAATTGATCATTTGAGAAACAAACAAACAAATGAAGAAATAAACAAACATTTCGTGCGAATGATGACAGCGATAATGAAAAATGCTGTGTTGATAATAATGAGGATGATGTGCAAAAAATGATTGCTGATAGAATTATGAAAAGTGTTGTAGCAATCAACATTATCGTTATTATTGACCAATAAAAGAAATTGGTTCTACTTGATAAGACATTTGATAAAACGATACGTTGAAGATGACGGTTGTATTGCATACGATTGCAAGAATGTTAATGAATACGATTAGTTTGAGCAGTGATAATAAATAATGCCGAGCATGAATAATGAACGATTCTGAAATCTTCATCTTCAAAATTCTTCATCTTGAAATAAATTATCAACAATTAACGTAACAATTCCCCCTCCCTCCCCCTAAACTGTCGTGCACTTTGCATGCAACACAAAAACTAATTTATCAGAAGTTTGAGGCACACAATGAGCGTGCGATCTTCCGAGTATTAAATCTGACCTTCAAAAATTCTTGTATTTTTTAACGGAGATTGAATGAAATTAAATTTTGCTAAACTCCAACAATCCAATAGGCACATGCACAGGAGAGTAAAATTATTATTATTATTATTATGAGTATTGCTCTTGTCATTGTTATTATCATTGCTACTATTATTAATATTGTCACTTCCATTTTCACCAGTGATATATTATATTGATAACAAAAGCAATATTATAGCAACAATAATGATCGTAATATGAAAAGACACGATGACGATGAGAGTATAAATGTTGTTGTTAACGGTGATGTTGAAAAGTACAGAATGACTGTTGAATGAGATAGATTTATATTTGGGAAGGAGAGAGATGATTCTTTCTCTGTTTCGTTTTGAGGTGCATAAAGGAACTAAGAATATTCTTTTTATGGAAACGGGCATAGGATTATATCATCTTTGAACGATGACCGCGAATACTTGACGATACTATTTTAAACGTACACGATTGCATATAGTTACATTAATACTCAAAAAAAGACGAAGGATAAGCGAACGAGCGAGCAATTTGGTTAGATGAATTGTCAGATGCAAGAACAGATAAGTGTTATAATACTTTACACAGCATCACTTCGTTAAGATAACCCAGATGAATAAGCATCTAATATAACCTTTTCTATGCATGTATTTATGAATTGTTTATAATATTGTCTCAAAATGTGAAATGATATCATTATAATATGTCATAGTATGCATGACATAATATATTATTGTTATTATTACTGATATCATTATTATTATTATTACTATCTTTTCTGGAATCTATATCATCAATAGTACAAAGCGCACTTCTTAAGAAAACCAAGGTAACCTTTCCGATTTCTTTGAGATAATATAGTTATCATTTTATGAATATATCAAAACGTATACGAGCATCATGTCTCATATGGTAACTACTTTGCCATCAACTAATAACAACGCTGATTATAATAACTAGCAGTAATAATGATATCAATAATAACATTGACAATAATATGGATAGTAACAATAATCATAACAGCAATAATAATAATAATAATAAGAAGAAGAACAATAATAATAATATCAATACTAATAGATATAGAAATATGCCTAAAGAACTCACCATACATAATATCATACAATACATTATAATATCCCACAAGATATCACCCAATCATCAGTGAATGCAATGTGTCCATTCAGCGCTATATTAATGTACGAATCAAAAACTGATTACACGCCTCATTAAATAAAGCCACACCTCAACAGGTATAATAATTGTTATTATCTACCTACATTATGTATAGTCATCTCATATTACTTCTTATGTATAATTGGAACTGCAACGGCAATCTATGAAGAACATTCAACCCATCTATAATATTTGGCTCGGTTTTGCCCTGTCGAGATTGGATCGGACTGGATTAGACATTCTTTGGAGTGGATTAGAATCAAGTTGAAGCCTAGTTATCATTCGACGCTGAAGTTCAGGTTTTGTTGGATAGGACGAACCAGAGATGAAGATAGCAAGGAAGATTGAAAGCAACACACAGAATGTTCATGGAGTGCAAGATATGACAACATTGGATAAGAAGAGGAATAATATCTTCTTGACACTTCGATAGTTCACCCTCCCACGGTTCGTTATCCCTTTTATCCCTCCAACCCTTAAGCTTCAAATTACTCGTGAATTAATGCGATGGCGGCGTGTTCAAATGCAGTCAGCTCATACGCACCTAGATAATTGTCATCAGGTTTGCGTAATATCATCATTAATTTTCAACACTTTTAGTAATAATGTTTATTATTATTATTATTATTTATTATCATTAGTTTATTATTGTTAGTTATTATTTTATTATTATTATTTATAACTAATAATATAATCATTACTATTATTTTTATTGGTATTATTATCGTCATTACTATTATTACTATTATTTATGCTCGAAATAATTCAATTTGTTTTTAGTTCATTCTTCAAATCTAATTTTGATCACGAAATATTGTTTTCGATCTCATCTCTAAAATCGAAAAATATCTTCTTGTATTTGAATAAGCATCTGGCATATGTTAACTGCTGATACATTTGCATTCGACTAAAGAAAGAACCAAGCAAAATTTCGTCAAAAACAGATTGCAATCTATGCGACTAATCGCAATATAACAAGCAATAAAACAGTTATAACAACGCGAATGACAACAATAAAAATAATGATAATAATACTGAAAAGAATTATAATAACAATAAGAATAAGAACCATGATGATAAATAACATCAAGACCAGAAACAACTATACAATAGATCTTATTTATAAGAAAACCATTTGAATCAGATAAATCAATTCAGCCGAAGTTTACATTCACATTTTGTAAACGTAAATATTATCACAGACGATTGACCCTATCCAAAAAATTTGTTCCACTTCAAAAGCTTTCTTTATTTTGCAGGCAATAAAAAAATATTATCAATCATTATAATATAATTTGCTAATAGTTTGTTTGGATTACATATAAAAGCGTGACACCTCGCAGAACTCTTATCAGCAGTGGTGACCATGATAACGATAAGACTCTTTGAAACACCAACAATAGTCATATCAATGCGCCTTTTTCCATCCCTCTCCGTTCTATCAATACTGCTATTTATCAATGATGAGTTATCATTACCATTATTGTTGCTATTATTATTTACTATATTACCTTAAGAATACAACAGATTGATTTGTCGCAAATGTCGGTTTATATTTGTTGTATGTAGTCGCAGGATTGGTTGTTGGTAGGCTATGTAAAGAGAAAGCAGAGACAGAAGAGTGATAACAAGCTGATATCTGCTGATAACACAAACGCGGCCATTCATTTGCTGCTTGAATCGATTGAACGAAGTCAACAGAATAAATAATAAGTTTTAAAAAAAGCAATAAAGCTACTGAAATAAAGGAGACTTGTATTGTTGCATTTTGCTGAAAAGCCAAGAATAAAATATACATTTTACGTACGGTAAATAACATGCAATAACCAAATGAGTCTTGCAATAATTATATAAATTTATTCACTCACTTATTATTTAACCATTCGCTCACATACATGATAAATGAACGAAAAAAGTATATACATACATATAACATGCAATTTGTCATTATTATGGCAGTTCAATTAAAGTGTAAAATCTTTCAATGGAACTTTTAGTTTAAACCAAAACCAATGACTCAAAAATTTTATTGTCATAATATTATTATTTTTCGCGATTCAGTCCTTGTTGTTGTTGTTGCTTTGGTTTTGGTGCTTTCGCATCTTCGGAAGATAACAACGATGAAATAATACGTAAAAATGGATTCTGACTATCCTCGAGTGCAGAGCATTCTTCACCGGAACGGAATAAACCCACACAACAACCCTTCAAAATAAGATGAGACGAAAGGGGAATGATATTTTAGTGATTTGAGTTCATCGATTGATTGAATTGGTTGATGTTATTAGAATAAGACAACATTTATACTGAGAGCAATGTAAGCTATTATTGTTGATACTGATATTTATACGCGTTACAACTTATTGGGCGAACAGAACGTCGCAAGTAAAAATGAATCACTGACTTGTGGTCATTAAGCTCTTTTGTCACTAAGCTTAAATTATCACTGAATCTTAATTATCAAAGAATATCACAATGTTTGTGACAATTAGTACTATTATTACAACGATTATTGAAAATGCTGGGTATTTAAATAAATAAATGAACAAAATGTATGGAGTACCTTCCACAGAATATGAAATTCGCCGTTATTAATGAGGAAATTAGTGCCTGGTGGACATGCACCATAATTACAAGCACGTTTATCCTGTGTTCGACACTCCTGCGTGCTTGCACAAAAGCGCTCTCGAATCCGTTTACCACACCCTCCACATTCCTGACTGCATTCACCCATCCACTCTGACCACTGACCACAGTTGCACTCTTAATTATTTCATCATGAGAAAAGCAGGAATCAATCAGTCACTTACCATTCTTCATAGTTGATTCTGATGTAACGCCACCGACTTGTACAAATGGCGTAGAAGTTAGTGTTGGCGTCGTTGGAACTGTTTCTGTTGTTGTGGAGGAAATCTTTTCGAGTATTGACGGCGTTGATGAAGATGCTCCTGACAGTTTTTCTTCGATGGTAGTTGGCATTACGGGGGTTGTGGGGGTCAGACGAATTGTGGAGGGACTTACAGGGGTCAGGAGGGAACCAGTGGATGGACTCGGGCTTGAAATCAGCGAGGGAGGTGCTGTTATTGATGGTCCAACAATGAACGTTGCTATTCTCCTTCCTGCATTTTCGGTTGTAAATTCTGGAGGCGATTCAGTTGGTGTTGTCATCCTGGCACTAATAGTGATCATTTTTGGTGGTGAATCCGTGGGCTTCGTCGACTTCACCTCAAGAAATTCTCACAATTATCGTTATCATAATCACTCTTGTGTTATTATTATTATCATTATCATTACTATCACTTTCATAATTGTCACATACCTCAACTGAAGAATTATCTTCAGCATCTGACCAAACTTTTGCTTTAAATCCAATACCGCTATAAATTCGGCTACGAAATATAACGACCATCTCGTTAGTGGTTGATTCGAAAATTTGATCTGGTTTCTTTGAGCAACAAAACCTGCAGCTTTTGTCATTTAATAACACAACATCAAATGAGCATTTGTTTCGTTTAATCAAACTATGATCACTAATATTATTGTGGGCATCACTAAAACCAAGTGATAAAGAATTAACTAACTAACTAACCGATAGCCAGTAACACGAAAATCACCGTTGTTTTTCAGTTCCACATAGGTTTTATCACATGTGTCTTCACATAACATTTGGAAGGTTTCGACGAATTTCAACATTACTTTATGACCAATTGGTGCTTTTAGAAGCCATATACAGTGCGATTCGGACGGATGTTGATTAGGATAATTTGGACTTGCTATGAAGACTGCGTTCTTTGAAGCCTCAAATATAATTATCGCATATGAACTGAGTCCAGTTTCTCATTCATTCAAATGTCTGAATTATTTTCAACAGTACTAGTTCTAGAAGGATCTGGTCACTCGATTGATACGCCATTATTTCAGTCTTATTATGTTGAATTCAGTTGATTCGTTCATTAATAATAGAGATCATCGATTGATGATATTATTAATAAATAACAATAATAGTAGTAAGAAACATGACATAATATTGTTTTTTCTTTTTATTTCTTGTTATTTTTATTAGTAATAACGATAATAAGAATAATAGCCATAATAAATAATTTACAATAGCAAACATAAGGATGAATAATGAATAAAGCTAGTAATAAAAGTTAGACATACCATGATAAGTGCTCCACAGGGAGTATACTGTACAAATTGACAAATGCGTCCAGCAAAACCATCAGGACAAAGACATTCAGAGCAATCATTCGGATTTGGGTAACCGTCATGCTCACAATACATATATGGACATCGGTCAGTGCAATGATATGCAATATTTATCTGAATAAAAATACACTTTTCAATTATCACCTCGAATTTATACACAATTTTGGTTCATTGAGAGGGAAATTTCAAAGGGAAATATTGGTCTTTTCGAAGGAATTTGCAATGAAAACTTTCAGGAACAAAAACAAACTCCAGCGACGACAGAAATTCGACGAAAAATTCCAGAAGAGGATGCCGATTGATGAAAAACGAATAACAAAAAAAAGGCGGAAAAAAGAAGCATAGTGAGTAATAATAATTACGGCTGCAAAATCCAAGAAAGACGGTCCTTGACGCTGGCCAATAGTGTATTGCTGGAATTTATCACGTGTTGTTATCGTGGGTATGTACGGATCAGTCGCAAAGCCGTATGCTCCATAATGCATCACAGAGCCTTTGAATTCGTTATTATCATGAATGTTATCATCAGATTATCAGAAAAACAAACGATGAAATGTTAATAATGTATATTTATGTCCAACCAACCTGTATCATATGGTAAATTGAAAGTGCTTGCTTGATTAATTGAAACCGGGTGAAAGTTATTCCATCTAGCAATCGGTATATTATTATAATTCACAAATATGTAACCATTTTGATCGGGACGCGCTTGCTCATGAAATATTCCTAACGCATGACCGATCTCATGCGAGATTATACCAACCACATCACAACCAGGCGTTGCTATTGATATCCCCTTTGAAATTATTTCTTTAGCATCACTGTTATCATTATTGCTATCATTACCATCACTGTCAACTCATTATTTTAGCATGATGAAAGTTTCAGCAGCAGTAGCTTCACTCACTTGAGTTCCACCAGTTTTGCCGACAAAGCTCGAGCAACCGCCACCATCAAAGAATTCAATACGATCCACACTTGGACCATTCTCTTGAAAACGTATACAGGTTCGTTCCTCCCATAAGGCGATTGCAGCACGTATCTTGTGTCGAGTTGAGAGCGGAATTGAATCGGCGAAATCGTAACTGATTGGTCTGTGCGTACTCCAACGTACGTACAATGGTTCACGACCAACTTTTCTGAGTATTGATAAGCATCAATAAGAAAGAATTTTCCTTTTTCAAAATAATCTATTTGCTTGACCTCGTGTATGATTCAATGGGGAAATTTTTTATCGAAGAATCAAAACTAAATAACGACGATATAGCGATCTTTTAATTGCATATATTAGTTTTAAAAAACCATACAAACGAGGAATTAATCTAATGACGATCAAAAACGGCTGGCCTATTTCATTGCTTAAGAGAATTAGCAAATGCAATCGAATTAAATCAAATCAATTAAAGTCAACAAAACAATTATCAAACAACTATTTACCAACCGTTTCTTTCTAGTTTTCGATTCAAAGCTATCTTCATTCTCCTTCACATTATTATCATCGTCACTATCTTTATTTTTACTAGTGCTGTAGTGACCGATCGTCTCTTGTAACACGTCACCAAGAATTTCGGCTTGTTTCTCAGATAAATCCACATCGCCCTACAATAATATAGACAAATTTTACATTGATATTAGAGTGCGTCGAGGAGTGAATGCTCCTACTGAAAGCTATTCCTCGACTTTTTTTGGATCTCCTTTGACAAACTGGTCTTTGCAGTCAGAAGTTGTTCCTCGTCAATCTATAAGAACATGTACGTATTTATTCCATAAAATCTTTGCAATACTTTTGACGTTTAACCACTTGCATCCTTTGGTCGCTGGATGTTTAGGTTCAATACCACTATCAAGTGACGAGTATCAGATTCTGACCGCCGAAAATGACGAATATCACCATCACTATTTGGTGAGCAAAAAATGCGATCGGTCAAAAAACACATGTAGAAGATGTATGCCATGAAGAGAATCAATCTTTGCGATCTGCGGAATTCTCAACATCTTCGAAGCAAACTAAACAAAACAACAAAACTAATCAACGAACGAATGAACCTGAAAGTATTCATCTGGATCGTTTACACTCAACTCGTCATGATGCGCTCTTGAATTCGGATCCTTTCGCTCAAATATCAATTCATCATCAAGCACAGACGCATGCTGTTCATTCTCTCTGAATGAAAATTCTGATAAGTGACCGACTAAATCAAAACTAAGCCCACAGTTACACTACTTAATCAAATAAATACTGTTACTACTAATGCTAATAACAACTTTTGAGTTTGTTGATTGATAAGTCGTTTTATGCGATCCAATGATTTGCGTGATGCTTTCTTGACTCGAAATTTCGACGACGACGATGCTAATGTTGACGATGAGGATTTTGCTTGTTGTCGGGATGATGACGATGACGGTTGTGCGTCTACAACTAATTCTTCGAACAATTCGGAATTCTGCTCAGAATGTCCGGGTAAGTTGGAAGTAGATGAAGAAGAAGAAACAGTAGCAGCAGCATCAGAGCCAACAGGAACAACAGCCTCAGTAGCAGAAGTTAAACAGTTGGAATTATGGGTGTGAGGATATTGGTGATAAACTACATCATCGAGGTGACACGATGAGCGTGGAGAGCGAGTCGACGAACATAGCACTGAGTTAAAATATAGTTGACACGTTAGTAAAAGCACGAGATTTTTGACTGTTGATTGCCACATTGATGCGATGAGATGCTTGGATGTGAAGTGATACGGTCAGATTAGATCAGATGATAACTATGCGAATGTGAGTGATTAAATAATTGTCGATCATGAATGCGAAATCTTCATTGCTGAAATTTTGAGTTTGGTGAATAGGCCGATGATAACGAGAGGAAAATATTTCTGATTCATCAAAACAACGACCACGATGAGGATGGAGACTGGAAATGACTTAAGATCTGACTCGATTGTCCGACGGATTCAACCGCACATCTTTGATCGACTACTTGAATGGCTCATTCAACTTTTTAAATAGGTTTCTTTCAGTAGATCAAACGGTTTTAATTTAAATTCACATCATACAAATAAACTAACTAAGAAAAGTAAACTTATTGTTTCCCATCATTTTTGCTTTACAATAATAATACTAATAATAATAATAATACTAAAATAATAATAATAAAATAATAATAATAATAAATAATAATAATAAAATAATAATAATAAAATAATAATAATAA